CATGGGAATGACACTAGATATATATATATATATATAAGCATGAGAAAAGATGGATCATTGTATGGCAAAAAGAGGGTTCGCTTGATGAGTGTGAATGAGTCAAAATCGTTATACTGCTAGTCTAGTATCCATAGAAATGACGAGAAATTTAAAGCACTATTCAGTAAAATATGATCTTTGTAAGAAACACGTATTGCCGAAGTCAAACCTTGGGAAAGTGAAAAAATGCATTTTGTGTATGACGAGAAATCACTACTAGAGACAATAAAAGAATATTGTTACCCAAAGACAACAACTAGATGAGAAGAGACACTAAAGTGAGCATAAGATATTACAGGAGTAATACATTTCATGATGTAGAGCAAAAGATATTGTTGTTATTAGACAAGAAAACCTTGTAAGCAAGTTAAACTCGTTGGTTAAGTTTAACTAGAAGCCAACGACTTGATGGGATCCGGCATTGCGATTTAACATGTAGGATGCTTAAATATAAGTAGTGCGTAAGTTGAGAATTAGTTTGAAGCAACATGGGTTTTGCATGAGCAATCATGGATGGAGAGTTTGCCCATCCGAGTGATGAGTATGTTTGGAGGTGGGTGGTGAAGGAGAAGAGGTGAGAGTATCGCAAAATTAGTAAAAATAGCAGGTTGCAGAATTCATTGTGGTTTGTTGGGGAGTAGAGATATGATGGGGTGGAGCTCAGTCATGGGGGAATCACAACATATGCATATCTGAAGGCATAGTGCATAGGCATTATATGTTATCATGTGAGCAGAAATTAACTAAGTATAGAGAGAGTAGGAGTATCAAGCTAATATGTAAAAGCTATAATATGCAAAAGAGCTAAGATATAAGATTGAAAACTACAATGGAAAGCGAATATACATTTAGAGGAGGTGAAGAAGGAGATGATAAAGAGAACACAAGAAAAAAGTTACAAGGAAGAAATAAGGAATTCCATGTCAAAATATAATTCATTCATCAACTACCCTTGCAAAAGTTCACGTAGTAACCTTTTATAAGAGAGAAACCTCCGATCCATAATGAGCATACATAAATATAGTACACTCAAACAAAAAATGAAATCATAAAAGGCTAGATAAACATGAAATTAAACATAAATGTAAAACATGGGTTCATTTCTTGGCTTGTATCATGCATCTGGTTGAATAATGAATCTTAGTGGCCTTGAAATGCACTGTATCTAGTCCTCTTTTTGATCAAGTTGGAGACTAACAGGTTTCGGACATTGTAACATCCTCGTATAAGTGTGAGGCTTGATTTGTTGATTTATTTTTCTTCTATTTAATTTATGTCACCTAAATTATTGAATTGGTTTGCTACGTGATTGGTTATTGTCAAGTTCAATATAATCTAAATCTCCACATTGATAAGTTCATTTGATTTCATGCTTTCATATTTTTGAATTCCTACATGTTATCTTTTCAAAAGATTATTAAATTAACATATTTTGGATTCATTTTTAGTTTCGGTCTTCATCTATGACAGTTAAAAATTTTTAAAACAAAGAATTTGTCTTAAATTTTTGCTTTTGCATGACTTTGTGTATACATAATAAATTTGCATTAGTAAAACTTGGGCTCTTAATAATTCCTATGTCACGAAAGACATAATAGTGATGGAAAACTTAAAAAAATCTTAAGCCGTATGCAAAACAAAATTAAGGAAGAAAACAATCAATTTTGAATCTACAACAGGATGGCCATTTAAAGGTATCAATAAGTATATATGCATTCATATAAGCTTACATTACTCTGAAAATAAGTTTGTAGCACTTACATAGTTCATTTACTTGGAATAGTCAGTAATTCTTAAAATATACTTTTCCTTACCTCACCAATATCCCAGTCCTTTGACCAGATAGTGTCATCAGAGCCTATATCTTGATTGTCCCTGGAATTACGAGACACATTATTCTTTAGACAACAATAAAAGTTTAATAAGTCCCAACACTAAATCATATTCTATCTTAACCAAATATAATCATGATAAATTGAATATTTGAAAAGAGGTTAGCTAGCATGGTTGCAGTTTTTAATGAGAGACATAATTTTATTTACTATTTGCAGCTTCATTAAATAAAGAAAATCAGATATCTCAATCGCAAACTCTACAGGATACTGACTGGAACGCTACTCAACATGGGAAAAATAACATGAAAAATAACTTGAACTAAAGCATAGTTAGGATTACCAACTCCAACTATAAAGGTTGTCGCTTGAATTTGAAACCTCTTTGCTTGTAAGTTTAGGGCCCAGATTGCACTATTGGGCAAGCCTCTTGAACTGGAAGCACCATTTTTATGTATTTAAAACTGTGTATATGGGTAAGGATATACATAGAGTTGTAAATGAACCAATACACTCGATGAACAACTCGAACTTGACTCAATTAAAACACCATCATGTTTGTTTAAACTAGTAAATAAAAAAAGCTTGAATGTTTTTTAAAAACTCGAAGCTTAAATGAACTAACTATAAACATAACCCACTTGTTTATTCATGTACACAAACAAACTCATGTTGTTCAACAAGTAACTCATTAAATACTCGATATTAAGCTCGATAATGACTCCTATCATATTTATATTTAAATAAAATTTGATTAACTAGAATTTATTCTTTTTCAAATTATTTAAGTTGTGATTGATGAATATGCAAATTAACTTAATGCAATTCATTTTTATTTATTTTAGTTTTGATGAATTAATTTAATAGTACTTATTTATATTATTTGATTGCTCGATTACAGTTCTTATGTACACAATAAGACTTTGTCGATGTTCCCAAGCAAAGTAGCAAAAAAGAGTGCTAACCACATACAACACATATATATGGATACAGATACATAGGCTTTTCTCTTCTGATCTTTATTAAGTGGACAAGATCTTATGGATGTTCACAACATTCAAATGCATCGACCATACATAAACTATCTGATCTAGCTCATCAGTTCCATAAAAATTTAAGTAATCATAAAGAATGTAAAAGATGAGAATAATCACATTGAAGTTAGAAATTCTTGAAATCATCTTGAATCAATATCTAGCAACTTTCCATCTATAACAATCCAATAATCCATAAAAAATGGTACTCCATACTAGGGTAATCTCATGAAGAAGAAAAATAATGCTTTCTTGTCTGCTTCTTGTTTGTAATTTTGCTATGCAATTGATTCTAGAGTCCATTTATTACGGATTTATTTCCTTCTTACTTATATGCAACATACAAATATATATATAGACACACACACACACACCTCATGATAGCCAAAAGTATTCTCGTTTAAATTCTTGGAGAAATATGTTTGAGAGTTTATTTCAGACCAAAAAGCCTCTTTTTAACAGCGAACTACTTAAATTCTGCCGCAAACAAAAATTGTTTAAATTGGTTCAATTTCAAACCAAGTTAGAACTTAATTCAAATCAGATTCGAACTTATAGTTCGAGTTTGAACCAAGTCCAAACAAAAGAGTATAACAAGTCAGTGACATTACTTTAAGAATACATTACAAAAGGACGATGAATAGATTATCAAAAACTAAAAGAATATTTTACTTTTACACCGAATATAATTACAATTATTAAACAACAATTTCAATACAACCAATTTATAAACAATATCGTGTTCACTAATTGAGGCCAAGAAAATTTTAGTAAGTACAGATAATGACATTGCTATCTAAACATGATTTACTCAGTAATAAACACATACACCTCATATCATATTTAGCTAATCTAAGTTATTTTAAGGAAATTACTTTCTTCTCGAGAATAAATATCTGGATTTAAGGTTCAGTTGTTGGTTGGGCTCCATACTTTCTTCAACTGGCCTATATTTGCTCTTCCTTTTGTATCCATGTATTGTTGTATGTTCTATGAAGAAAGAAGGAGTATATACAAAAGATGATCCAACCACTGGCCAGATACTCATCTGATAAGAGTAGTTTGGAAATTTATGTCGAGACAGACTCTTTCTGTAGATTCCTCTTCTGATACGAATGCAGAATTAGAACGAAAGGCAACACAGTTTATGGAAAACTGAAACTCATTTTAGCCTGAACACATTCAAAGATTTCACATTAATGATATGAAGCAGAAATATCAAATGGAACTTATATACATACCACCCAATTCCTATGTATTTACATATCTAATACCTAATCATTGCTTCTTACATTTATACCAACCAAATAATTCATATCACGTCAAGAATATCACCATTTTAACTTCTCAAAGGTGAAATACACCAAAAATCCATGTTATTCTTCTATCAGGGTGATGAAAACACCAATCAAAATAAACATCGCTTGGTCAGCTATGGCACTCATTATCATGATATTGGCTATCATTATGGCCTCCACAATAGTCAATGCGGGGATAGTCTATAGAATGGCATACGATCAGGACTGTGGGCAAGTGTCAATGTACCAAGATTAGATTATCAAGGCAAAAATTCAGTAGATACAAGAGGTACAGGTAGTAGTTTGCGCACATTTTTGATCATGCAAAGACTACACATGTGGGGGTAAGACATGCCATGGGAATGACACTAGGATCCATAAAGTATCTTTTGCACGTGATAGCTTTTACATATTTCACGTCTATCTAGCACTTTATGTCTTCATGTTTTGTTTGAGTGTACTATATTTATGTATGCTCATTATGTATCGAAGGTTTCTCTCTTATGAAAGGTTACTAAATGAACTTTGCAATGGTAGTTGACGAATGAATTAATTTTTTACATTAAATTTTTTATTTCTTGTAACTTTTTTCTCGTCTTCTATTTAATATATCACATTAGGAGATGTTAGAGGCTCGTATAATAGCCACTGGCCATTCCTTTAATATATATATATATATATATATATCTGCTAGGCCAAGGATGAAAAAATCACCTTATATACAAACTATAATCTAAAAAAGCAACTATCAAATAAAATAAATTAGTTTAAACTAAAAACAAATGTCTAGCTTGAGATCAAACCCTCAAATCCGTATGACAGCAAAAAACCAAATACATTCTAGCTATATATGCACATTACCAATATCTATATACTTTTCTCATATGGGCATCAAAGCATACTCTATAATGAAGAATCCAAAGCTCTACACCCAAGTCAAAAAATGATACAGATAACAATACTTGTATAAAATGCATATAAATTGTTATTTCTTTCGGTCATTCAAGGCGGCAGAAATCTATTTCAAACTGACCAAAAAAAGAAGGAAAAAAGGCCCGCAGTTAGAAGAAACATTAGATTTCACTTATTTGTATTGTTATGAGACGATGATTATACATGGTAAATTATTATGGAAATCATAAAATCACTCTGCTTTGCTCAGTTCGAAAACCACCATCACTATAATCATCACCATTATCAGTAGTCATACTCCCAATTGCCTATATGAATTCTCCTTCATTCATTCTAGTTGAGTGCTACATAATATACATTCCTCATTTTTGCATAGATCTTTGTATCTTAATCCATCTTACGGGACTATCCCTTGCAATTTACGACACTTTCATGTAAACCTTATTTATCTATCTTATTAGTACATCTCAGTCCTTCAATATTTATAATACCTCATTTTAAATAATTACTACTTTCATTACCCCTCCCAAATAGGCATTTCTTATTTAGTTTTATCACAAGTCAATGTCAATATTTTAATCTCTAAAATACTCGATTTAGGAAAGCAATAATAATTTAGACTTTATTTCTCTTATGGCATGTGTCCATTAATAAGAAAGTCCGTGACTTCTTTCTATTGTTCCCTGTGCGAGGTTAGCCAATTAGGTACTAATCCAACTTACGCTGCAGCTGCCTTGTTAAATGCGCTTTGAACAACTTTCAATCCATCAAGAAATCCTGATGATTGATTACTGCTGCTGTTAAAAAATTGAGAAGACATAGAATGTAAGGGCGATTCCTTGCTTCCCATAGCCATGAAACCATTGGTAATACTGGAGTTGTTAGGTCCTGGTGGACTTCCAAATTGTTGCAATGGTAGTTGGTCACCAAATGTTCCTGCAACAGCCTAAATTATGAATCTCCTGTCAACCAGTAAAGGAAATAAAGCAGTTTCAGCAGGTTTGGACAAACCATTGGTTCTTCCGGAGTTGCTTGGTCCTGTTGAACTCCCAAACAGTTGAATTGGTAGTTGGCCACCAACTGTTCCTGCAACAACCCAAAGTATAAATTTTTTGTCACCCATAATATGGAAACAAAGCTAAATCTACAACTACTCATAATTAGAGTCATAATTAATCATCAGGCATTAAGCAAAGACATTATTTTCTAGTTTATTGTGATTATTGAGCTTAAAGTTGCAATCAGAGGAACAGAGCAGAATCTAAAGCCAATAAACTCAGTTTTGGTTCCGAATTTTGGTCATATAAAGAAATGGATTCATTGGTTTAGGTGCATATTTTTTGACTCAATTTTATGACTCAAGTTTTAAAGCATCTAGAATAAAAGACAATATGTTAAAAAACGTGTTAATTTTGATTATATATTAATCATTGGCTTCCTAATTGTGTATAATAATTTTAGATTTGTGAGCATTATAATATATAATGTAATGCATTTTCAAAATAATTTTGAATGATGAAAAATTAGATATTAAATAATAATTCTTACATTTAATTAACCAGTAACATATAGTTAAGAAAACAATTATGAGCCTTAATAATTTTAATAGAGTACATAGTTTAACTGATTTTATGTTTTATGAATATGATTAATAATATGATGTAGGATTACCTTATTTTGATTTTGTGTGTTTATTTAAAAAGATGTATACAGAACTTACTCCACTAGTAATGAATTGCTATATAATAATGCTCCATGCACGTTGTTCTAAATACATAGATATGGTTGACGGCACTTTAACATAGTTTTAGCTGCGGTCTGCATTGGTGTGACTATAACAGATGTGGCTGGTCCCTTTTTTCTCGCTACTGTAGCAAAACTCCAAAAAAACTCCATTTTAGTACCGCAGAGATTGGCCAATATTAAGACCACATAATCCATTGGTGATAAAGATCAACATTTTGCCTACAAGCACCATCTCTAAGGTGGCAACCATGGCAATCTAAGGACAAGGTCTCAGCATAAAAATAGCAACAAATATTAGGTTAGAAGAGCATAGAACAGTCACGCCATAAAAGCATACTAGATTGCTATGGAATCTAATGTAGCAAGTTCAGTAAATAAGCATGATTAAAAATATCAGGTGCTCGGCACACTAGCTATGCTTGCAAGGGCTTTCACCCTTCTTAAATTTGGGCAGTGCTTGCATTCCCAATGGCTAGCCTCCTCTCGGTGTTCTCTATACCCTCGCACCCTTGTTGTGCTCGTGCATTCTTGCCACTTCATCCTGTTGTGTACCCCTGATACACTTTGTATTACTCAGCTTTTGCCTACAGGCTGACTTAATTTTGGCTCTGCATGTATTCAGGCACTGATCCAACTTTTGTTCTATGCAACATTATGCAATCTTTTGGTCCCGGTGCCTGTGATGGCATCTTTGCTATTATGCCTAGCTCACCTCTTATCAATTTTAACTCTATTTTTGCCTTCCGGTGTAACGCCATCCCACTCCCACTTGAGTTAGATCTCTCATCATCAACTTTGTCTAAATCATTGACAACTTAAGTACGACCATATTGGAGGAATCCTTCTATGGCTGCTGGCATTCATCGGGCTTCACGCCACTTTCGGCTTTCCCTTGTTGTGCCTTCCTCAATCTCTTGTTAAGGTTGTTAGAGAAGATAAGAGTCCTCACCTTCCGCCCAACTACTCACATTTTCTTATTAAATTTTAACAAAAGCCTGCAATTTTTCATCACAAATTGTCTTCTTTTTAGGGTAAACTTGCTCTCATGTTATCTAATAAGATTTTTGAATTGCCTTCACCTTTTTCCCTCTCCTCGGTTGGCAAGTTTCATGGGGTCATCCCAATTTGAAGATTATTCATAGATCCAGGGTCAATCTACACATGGCTGGAAGTTATAATGTGGGACTCATCGACTCTCATTACGTTTTTACAAAGTATTATAAAAATATGATAACTCAAAACATTTCTCTCGGAGAACATGATATACAGGTGGATTCAATATGAATTATTTGTTCTATGGAACCTCCTTGCAGTCCAATTTGGGTTGTTTCGCCGCATCTATGAATTCGCTATTTCAAAAAATCTACCCTAGTTCAATTTTTGACAAATGATTTCAATTATATACTACTATTAGTAGGTTATCTAGGCAACCAATGACTCGGGTTTTGGTCGAATTAGATTTTTCTCCCACTATAAAAGAAGAAATTTGGATTGGTTTTACATCTAACAACTATTGACAAAAGATTGAGTTTAAATTCATAAAACCTGAGGTTTCTAATGCTTTGTTATTACTTTTTGTTGTACTATTTTCCTTGATTAATAATAAATTTTATTTTGCTTTAGAAGAAATACAACAAAAACATTATAACAAATGAGCTTCTTTCATTACCAAGATTTGGACAACGCAATTTTGATCCACCCTTCAGAAACAAACAAGCATAAAGAGAGCCACAAAGATGAAGTTTTATTGGCTGTGAAGCACAATGAAAATTTTGAGAAAACCACACAGCTCTAAAATCTACCACTGTAAGAAAGAGAATTAAATCTTCAATCAGAATGTCAACAAACAACCAGCATCTCCTTTCCTATTTTTTGAGTTACCTTAGTAAATTCTCATTTGCCACTCATTCTAATTCAATAAAAATCCGCATTAGATACTAATCTAATTCAGAGAAATCAAACTAGACAATTTCTAGGATAAATTATCTCGAGTCTTCCCTTCCCATCTCATCGGAGTAATTTTTATCCTTATCCAAAACATTAAGAAAACAGAGATTGTTTTTCATTTCATTTCAGTCATATAATGCGACCAAAGTTACCGATTCAAGTTCAATAAAATCCATTTTACTTATTTCAGTTTAAATCTAATTTCTTCCAAACCTTAGAAGTTAAAACCTGCTTTTGGTCGTGCTTGTCCAACCTTGTGGTTGAGAACTTAATGTGCTAGTCTTTCAAAATTTTAATAGATAGCGAGTAATCACCATGAACTCCAAGTAAGCCTCTAAAACAAACGGAGAACCACAATGATCAGCCAATAAGAGAGCCAGCAATTCTGAACAGTACGAAATTGAGTCTCAAAAAAATTTTGCACTAATAGTTCCATAATATTTCAAAGATTTAAAAGAAACCTTCTGGTTTTATTACAAAGGACCTAGGGATTTAGCTACTTAATGACAATTTTTATTTTATTGATACAATAAATAGATTATTGTTTCAGAATGAATATTTTGGAAGATGTAAAAGTAAACAATATTGGTTATCTATTTCAAAAACCATAAAAAATGATCAACTTCTTACCAGAATCACCAAATTTCATCTCAGATCCACCTGCAATTGGACTAGTACTTTTAGGAAAACTTGACTGCCCAAAAACACTATTTGACTGAATTCCTGATATCTGGCCTCCAAAACTGAACACAAATATCAGTAAACAATCAGACAATATGGCCTTTCTATCTTGATTGTTGATTTTGTATCAGTTTGAGGCAGAAAATAGCATACCTCATGATAGGTGCAACACTAGTTGACGTTCCAAGCTGACTAAAACTTGAAAATGTAGGCGGTACATTGCTCATTGGACTGACTGTTGAAGCGTTGGTACTAACAGAGAATTGCTTTACAGCAGTAGGACCAGAGCTTCGTATTGCATAGGGATTCCGAATTAGAGCATCAAATTCAGCTAACTTAAAATTCAGTAAGTTTCTCTCCCTTTCAATCTGAAAATAAGAGAACAATGCCAGATTCAAGTGCATGCACAAATGCTCTATAATGTTTCCATCAACAATTGACAAATGAAAATAGTATGTATGTATGTATGTATGTGTGTGTGTGTGCGCGCGTGTGTGTGCGTGTGTGTCTATCTGTGTGTGTCTATCTGTGTGTGTGGTTGTGGTTGTGTGAGTGTGTGTGTGTGCCGCCTACCACGACTCTTTGGTTGACAGTGTTTGCAAGACCCTCGGGGTCACAAGTTCAATCCCACCTTTGTGTGGGATGAAATTTTTAGGCACATGACGTTGGATAAATGGTGTCCTGATGAAATATTGCAACCTCTTCATCAAAATTTCAACTTTGATCTAAGGGTGGTTGATTGCTGGGAGAGAAACAACTGGTTAACTACTTTGCTGCACACCATGGTGACACCTTCTTCTACTGAAACTATATCTAAGCAACCTATTGATGTTACAAGAAAGGATTCTAGAGCTACCTCTATGAGTAAATCTCAAAGCTTAACCTAAGCAATCTATGCTAAACTGTATCAGCGGGTGTCTGTTGCTTGGGCTGACTGCCTTTAGAACAAAATTCTCACTCCTTCTATGTCTTTCCTGGGTTGGAGATTGTTCCACCATTTTTTTGCCAATTGATGACATCCTCAAACTCAAAGCGTTGAGAGGTCCCTCCAAGTGTTGTCTATGTCTGCATGCAGAAGAATCTTCTGTTCATCTCTTTTTTCGGTGCCCTTATTCCCAAATTGTTTGGAAGGAATTCCTCAAATGCTTAACCATTGACACAATTTTATTGGATTGGAATCAGTTAACTCTTTGCTGGACAAGCTGGGCTAAGGTAAAGTTGGGCTCTATTCCATTTATCCTGACATGGTTCATCTGGATGGTCAGGAATCAGGCTAAGTTTGATAATTGCCTCAACTCTGCTTCTAAGGTTGTTGCCAACTGTAAGACATTCCTCCTCAAACTGATCTCTCTGAAGAATTTTCCTAATATCTGCAATTCATCATGGCATGGTGGGCCCCCCCAAACTTGAGATCAAACAGATGATTTGGGAGAGACCTTCCCATCCTTTTATTAAGGCTAACACTAATGGTAGCTTTTCAGATCAAGATGCTGATATAGGGGGTGTTTTCAGGGATTATGTAGGCAGGTGTCTTTTGTTCTTCTACTCTTCCATTTCAGTCGAGATGCTTTGGAAGTTGAGGTGGCTGTTGTTTTTTGGGCCATTATGTTAGCAACTCTCAATAACTGGGGCAATTTACAGGTGGAGATGGATTCCTCATTACTTTTGAGGGTTCTCACTGTTCAAGATTCTCATCCTTGGCACATTGCTCATTGGCTTATAAAGATTAAGGCATTGAGGACTCCTTCCATCCATTTTACTTTTATCTATAGAGAGGGCAACAATCCTGCTAACTGGTTGGCCAAGTTTGGGAATGTTTCTAACTCAACTCTTGTTTCCAAAACCCCTTCTTCTCTTGCTTTTCTTTTGGGTGGGGATCTTTTAAATGTCCCTTACCTTAGGATTTGTAAACGAATTTTACCTGAATAGAATCATCCTTTTTATGCAAATATATATATATATAGTCTATATATATATATATATATATATTACAGAAGCCCACAAGCAAATACGGATTTTCAATAAATCCGGGGATCACATCTAGAGGACAAGTAAATCAATTGTCGATGAGAGCGAGTTGAGCATCAAATCATGAAGAAATTGAAGGGCTTAGGTTCATTAAAGTATTGAAGGTGTAAACTGTCGATGAAAACTATCAATGATGGTGATCTCTAGATTGCACTATTACGAATTAAGAAAGACTCATAATAATAATAATACTAACATGAGCTAAAATGAGTAACAACAATTATAGTGATAAACACGCTTAAATACTTAATGGTACAGGAAACATGATTTAAATATGAAATATGAAACAATGGCAAATAATAATAATATTGTAATAGCAATTTTTTCATTCATCACACTATGCAATGTTATATGTTCATTTAACTTTATTTTCATTCATATTCTCACCCTTTTTTTTTCATAGATTGTCACTTCGTATTTGCATAGACTATGAATTTTCTTATTTTCTTGAGTCATCACCCAGCCAATCGATCATAAAAATCGCTGAATGAAAGTTGGTCATCCTAACATCTTTTTTATCATTGGCCTTCTAATATTAATTAATCAGCTCCAATCTTACTATCAGGAGTTGAGAATTCAATCATTTTTGTATCCAGACTCATCTCAATAGAACTCTAGCTTTCCTTGCGCAGGTCATCGGTATACCTATCTATATATCACAGCACACATGGCATTTCATTGCTCAACTTTATCAATTAAAATCTTGCTCGATCTGAAGGTACCTGCGAATAATCACTTCATGAACATGCACAAAAAATATCATAAGATAAATAATAGTAAACTTACATCTATTATCGAAATTCTATAAAATACTGTCAATTTAAAATAAGCAGTTGTTCATTAGCTTCAATAAATTAGGCTGACATTAATAGTTATATTCAGTATGAAAGAATGTTTAAGTGCAAATTATATAACAAATGCATTTACTGACAATAGCAAGTAATAGTCTTACAGAATATTTTTTCTTCTTAATTTAGAATTTGAAAACGAGGCTCATCCCTAGACTCGCTTCAAACTCGCCTCCTTAAATAAACAACCTAAATTCACAATTTCCATTGAATTTCAGGAAATTTTTAAATAAGCTTAATTTAACACATTACTAATCTCAATTTTTTTTACCTGAAATTGACTTTCCTAAATATAAACATTCCTTCCTTAAAATCCACAGCCCAAGAGCTCTTTACTAGCCCAACTAGATTTCACAACAAAATAGAGATCAGTAAAGGATTTTAGACTAAATACAACTTGATATAAGCATTTATTCTCTTACGTTGGTGCTTAGCCGAAGGGCAAATTTGTCTTTTGTATGCTTAAGGGAAATTTAGTCTTTTATTATTATTATTATTATTATTATTATTGTTGTTGTTGTTGGGTATAAATACGCCTGTTATTTCTAGGGTTAGGGTTATGCATTAGATTGAGTTGTCAGTCTTAAGACTAAGGTTTGGGAAACATTTCCTACCTCTCAAATTGTAGGAATTGGGAGAGATTTCCTACCTCTCGAATTGTAGGTGTTTATCTTTGTATTATTGTTGAGTTGTTTGATTTATTGAATAAAATTTGTGTTTGCCCTAATTTTTATGGAAAATTGTGCTGATTTTGAGGTCGGATCGTATCAAATTGATATCAAAGCATCTATTAGGAATTCAGAAAGAAAAGATTAGGTTATTTGCTCGAATCGTGGCTCCTAAAGGAAGGATCCTCGCACAAAAGCAGGGAGGGGATATGGCTATAATCGAAGGAGTGAGTTTTACCCTCGATATATAAGGGAAAATAGCGAAGGGAGAGGAAGTTGAGGTGGAGATGCTAGGTTTAGGAAGTTGAAAATGTCGATTTTTGAGGGGGAAGAAACACATGGGTATGTGTCTCGGGTGTAGCAATATTTCGCGGTGAATGGGTTAGATGCGTGGCGACAAAATTGTGTTTGGAGGGGAAAGCTCTAGCCTGATTTCAGTATAAAGAGGCTAGATACCCGATCCAATCGTGGGATGAATTTAAGGATTATTTGTTGGAACCTTTCTGAGTCATTCGGCAAGGAGACCTAAACGAGCATCTATATGCCTCAACATGGGAGGGGATGATCATAGAATATAAGAAGAGATTTGAGCTATTGTCAAGAAGAATGTGGGGGATTTCTGAAGCAGGATTGGATGAGAATTTCATGAAGGGCTTAAAGCCCGACATATGGGCAGCACTCCGATTATTACAACAGCAGGGATTGAGGGAGATGATTGCGTAAGCCTAGATGGTAGATGACAAGAACCAAATGAAGAAAGCCAATAGGAACAACACCAATGGAACGCCTTACCGAACTTCTACAACCATGAGGATACCGAAAGCTCAAATAGTGGAAATCTAGATAGAGGTTGATGGGACACGATGACTGAGAGCAACACTCAAGTGTCTTACAGATATAGAGATTCGAGAGAAGCGAGTTAAGGGGATATGTTTCAGTGGGATGAGAAGTTTACCCCAGGACACTGTTGCAAGGACAAAAAATTACAAGTTCTCATAGTACATGACAAGGAGACACGAAATAAAGAAATAAAGATAGCTATGGGGAAGGAGGAGAAACACTCACTTTTTTTCCACCTAGAGAACAAGGTGTCTTTTGGGGGGAGTACTGTTAAGTTGGAGCCTAGCCTAAGGGAAACTTTATCTTTTATATGCTTAAGAGCAATTTAGTTTTATTATTATTATTATTATTATTATTGAGTATAAATAAGCTTGTTATGTTTGTATTAGGGTTATGCATGAGATTAAGTTGTGAGTCTTGAGTCTAGAGATTGAGAGGGATTTCCTACCTCTTGAATTGTAGGAATTGGGAGAGATCGTTACATCTTGAATTGTAGTTTTTATTTTTGTATTCCTGTTTAGTTGTTTGATTTATTGAAAAAAATGTGTTTTCCCTAATTTTTGTGGAAAAATGTGCTGATTTTGATCTTGGATTGTATCATATTCATAAATACCATTGTGTTAACTTGCTTATTTCAACACCTCCAAATATCCTCTCTAATTATCAATTTATCTCGGCAGCCTTGTCGAGAGCTATCAAGTATCCAATTGCTTAATTGCAGAACACGGTAAAGTTAGAGGGGAAAAGTAAAGGGATTAATTAATTCTGATGAAATTAAATAGGAATCAATTTCTTACCTTACATTTCCAAATTGCCCTCAAAACTTCAATTTTTCTCTCTAAAATGCTCTCCTCTATAGGCTGCAGTACATGTCAGTGAAAATCGAGAGAAAAATAAAAAAGAATTTTGTAATTTAAATATAATTTAGTATAGCAATCCAATTGTGTCCATGCATGCATGACCTATCTTATCTCCAAACCATTGAATTTACACTTCTACCTTAGTTTCCCTCCCTGCTATCCAGCCAGGGAAGTACAACTCATTGTTTCCTAGGGCTGTCAAAAAAGCTCGTTCGCGAAGAGCTCATGTTGGGCTCGTTAAGTAGCTCATGTTCAGTTCGTTCGTTAAGTAAACGAGCCGAACACGAACAGCTCTTTGTTCACTCTTCTTCGGCTCGTTTTAGCTTGAAATATATATATATATATATATATAAAGTCATACAAACAAACAAGAAGTCTTAATAATATATTACATATATTATTTATATAATAATATATTATATATATAATAATATATTATATATATTTATATCTAAGTTTAAAACGCAACTCCCCGTTTGGTAATATGGTTATGCACCTTCTTTTGCTTTCATTTGGTCCAAAAAGTTCGAATACAGCACTTTATATTTATTTTTTCAGTTTAATTTTAATGAGTCAATTTTGAGCCGAACACGAACACTAATACAAATATTTAAATCGAGTCAAACACGAATACACTATTCACGAGCTGATTTCGAACACGAGCCGATTTCGAACACGAACAATTTCGAACGAGCCGAACACGAGCCAAACTCGAGCTCGCTCAAGCTCGGCTCGTTTACAGCCCTACTGTTTCCTACTATAATCCTACAGCCCTCGAGGGAAAAACGTAGGAATAGGAAATGGGGAATTGGATACTTATTATATTTAAAAAAAAAAAAAACCTAAGGGTTAATATATTAAAGAGGAAAATATACAGATAGATTGTATGAGTCGGCCCAAAAGAAGGCACCCAACCCACACAGTACAAACACACACAAAATCCAAAAAGAAAAAAAAAAAAGATACGTATAAGATCCAAAAAATCAAAACCACCAACATGCGCAAAAAACAAGGGACGACACAATTTAGCCCTGCCTCTGCCCTAGTTTTCGAAAGAGAGCCAGCTAATAAATATATATATATCTACATAATAATAATAAAAATTATTATATAACGCACATACGTTCAATTAATCCTAGCCTTCCCAAGCATCAAACCATTGTATGTTGATATTACTGGATTAGCTACAGGATTATTCACTCTAAACAGTAACACTAAACAAATAAACATAAATATTAAGGTTACTTAATATGTTATGCAAATAATTTTAATAAAGACGTGCAAACGAGCTGCGAACGAGCGTCGTCAACTACGGGTGAGGAGAGACGACACGAGCGAGCGTCGTCAACAGAAGAGGCGACTACGACGCGAGCGAGCGTCGTCGAGAGAGCTGCGAGCGAGTGAAAACGTCATCGTGGGAGACGACGAAGTTTAGGGTATATATATATATATATATATAAGCATAAAATTTTATAAGAATAGTTTGAATAATTTGAGGAATTCGAAAAAAATATGGTATATTCCAAACTAAATAAAATGTGGCTCTTTTGACTAAAAGAGGTATTACAACTATTCACATGCAACTATCCACATGGACTAAGAGCCGATCTATACTTCATTTTCTAGATAAGATAACGTCCATTTCAACCAAAACTCTGGCCACATAGGGTTTGGAAAGACGAGCAATAGTAGTATCCATTTGCAAGGGATTGCCGAAAACATAAACAAAAAACTATATAGTCAATTAGTTGAAATGTAATTGAAGTTAAAAAACAAGCTACTTAAATAGGTATGATTAGTGGTTCCATCAGTGCATTGAAATAGGGAGAACAATTAAGCATGAGCATAAAAAAGCCAATAACATAAAAAGTAAGTCTTAAAAAGGAAAAATTATTGCATCTGGATCCGAACATAGCCTGCGTCCGTGTCCGGACAACGAACTCAATGCAAGGATCACGGGAAAATGCAGCGGAGGAAGGAAAAAAAAAACCATCGCCTCTGATCCATGCATCGCGTCTATTGTTCGGACCAGAGTTGCGTCCGAAGTTTTTCCTTAAAAAGAGTTTGGTGGAGTGACAATAGCGTGCATCCAAGGATATACATACAATGATTTAATGAGAAATAATAATCAAAACTGAAATATCACCAACTATAACTCTGTAAGGAATTTGAGAATGACACACATTTAGATGACCTAAAGAAAATGGTCAAGCAAGCTCAAGAGTCCTCATCCTTAGAAAAAAATGAGGATAGATTTGTCTTGATATGATAATGGTTGTTTGTGTTTGGACAGAACTTGTTCTAAATAAAAAGGAAAAGGAAAGTAACCAAAAGAAGATGTCTGTTCCAAGTCTAATGACCCCC